GGAAACAATGTTAAAATTATGGCGTAATAATCAAGTAAATGTGAAAAATTGTAAAATAATATAGGCCTAATTTGTTATACATATGTATTATCTAAGATTTTATTAAACATTTTTTTCTAAATTATTGTTTTCTTTAGTCTCCGGGCCCAATTAAAAATTATATGTATGTATTTATATGCGAAATTATACCCCGACTTACGCGAATTCGACTTATGCGGTTACCGCTCGGTCCCACCTATCGCGTAAGTTCGGGGTATTACTGTACTGTAAACTGCATATATGTAGCTTTTGCCAAATTTAAATAATAATAATTCAAATTCCAAAGTTGTTTAAAAATATCGGTCTTTGCTATCAACAAACAAAGCATTTTTATGGAAACCAAAATAGTTGATCATTGATTGCTGAAACAAGGAGACTGTTAATAAATCAAAACAATCTTAGTCAATCATTCTAACATCCCAATTAAAATTGATACATATTCAGTGGTCAGAAAGAGCATAAAAACTCTCTTAACCAAAATTTTTAAACAATTAAAAATACTATTTAAAATAAATATTTTTATATTATGCTAACCTGACATATTTTTGATGTTTTGTAGGTTATATTGTTTGTAACAATTTTAATTTTTTTTTTTTTAATTAGTTGTTGTTTATAGGTTACCTGTTGATAAGTCTATAATAATTTATTCTTCTTCTCACACATGTTTATTATAATATATTTATCTGATTTTATCAATTAATAAATGTATTATAAAAATAGCAGTATAAATATTAACAGATTTTTAATTTAATATTCAAATTATTACGTATAAAAATTCAATTGTAAAGTTAGAATAACTTTTATTTAAAATTTTGGATAATTTTATAACAAAATAAATATTAACAAAAATATCTGCAACGTAAAAAAATTACACCAAGTAAAAATTAATGACAATAAAAATTTTTCTTGGCAGTTTTTCTATAGTAAAGATAAGCTTGGTGCTTGGAGGCAAAATGTAGAAAACAATAATACTGGTAAAAATTTTGTGGGTACCGCTTTCAAGTGCCAGGCTTATCTTTACCAAAGAAAAACTCCTAATAAAAATTTTGACTCGACCATCATCTAAATTGTCATAAATTTTTACTTGGTGTAATTTTTTTTACATCGTAGATGTTTTTGTTTGGATATCAATTGTTTTTGTTTAATAATTGTATTTTTACATCCAGACATAAGATTGGTCGATGCCTGGCAACTGCCGACTGAACACGTCACTGACCAAATGCACTGCCAACCAAACTCTTTCAATATTCATTTCGGTCAGCACCGGCCAAATGTGCCACCAATTGAACATGCCACCGGCCTACACTTTCGATACACCATTTTGAATAAAATTCATTTGTTTTCATGCAATTTTATTCTTAAATGCATAAAATTAAGTTGTAAAACTGAATTATCTCTTTAGGAAACTCTCTTCAACTTTAACCTTGTTAAGCTAAAAGTTTCAGAAGCACCTCACTGATAACAATAAAGGCTTAAGTTTAAAATTTGAGTTTTATAGAACCAGTAGTTTTTTCTCTACAAGCATCTGCTTGTAGAGAAAAAACTACTGAGATAGAGATAGAGAAAAAGAATGAGGAAAAGAAGAAAATACAGCAGAATTTTTTTCCAATTTCTTATATTTTGGCAACTGCTTTATAGAAAGTCTTGAAATGTTGCACACTACCTAAGAAAACAATTTTCTTTCAAATGAGTTATTTGGAATTACTTCAGGTGTTTGGGGATGGAAAAATCAACTTCTGAAAATTGGCAACTCTGATTTCCTGTATGTACGTATATATATATATAGTCAGTCAGTGACTTTTTTACTTGACAAGGAGTCACTGCCGTGACTTCTGATAGAATATGTATAATTTATCTGCTCTTGGTAAACACATTTATTTTATAACATTAAGTTGCACAAACAATAAATTTTTAATTTTGTGAATTTAAATTTAAAAATGTCACTTTTAATTTTAGTCACACTAGTCACAGTAAAACTTAATCATTGGCATATTTCATATATCATTGTAAGATTAAGTAACAATTGTAAGAGGATATAAAACATTTGTAATATGGTTCCCAACCTGTGGTCACTAGACCCCTAAGTTTTGTGGATCACAGATTAGGAAGTATTGGGAAGGATTCATTGTTTTCATTGTTCATTGGCTTAATTGTTAAATAAATAAATAAAAATATATATTTATTTATGTATTTCACAATTAAGCCATTGACAATTCAAATATGTGTGTACAAGAATAGGACATGTGCTGAATAAAAGCTCTGTAGTAAAGTAGTAAAATCTAGTTTTTTGTCCCTAAAACATACAAAATCTGAACAATAGCTTGCATATGTGCAGGAGAGTGTTACTTTTACATCTTGTGCACTTAGTTGTTGTTCTACAGTGACTCATTTCAGAAGAATGGAATGGGGTGGATGAGTCACCCACTATGTAAACAATGTATAAAGAGCATGAAGTAAATCTAATCTTCCAACACTAGAACATTTAAAAAATTTTTGTGTTCTAATAAAGTAGAAACTTCAGATATCTTATAAGCAGCTCCTAAATTTTCAGAATTATATTGTGCATTAGGATCAGCCTTATTATTATTATTATTATTATTATATTGGGTTTAGTGGGTTATACACAGTTTACACTGGTGACCGTCTCCTATGCTGGACCAGAGTCAAGGCATAGCAACCAAAAACAAAAATTAAAAAAGTGTGTCAGTGTCTGTATTCAGGAATTTCCTAACAATATGGCATGTATTCAATATAGTGGCCTTCTGTAGTGTGATGTATGTATTTCTATTCAATTGTAATGTTTCCCAGGAATGGAATGTATGGTTCATGGCTGTCTAATAATTTGTTTCTTTGCAAGCTCTTGGTGTATTACATTTGCTACTTGATTATCTCTGTAAGTAATCTGACTATGCGAAGAGCTTGCAACCAGAAGTGATGTGTTGTATAGTTTCTGGCACGATATGACATTTTCTGCATGTGTCATTTGTGAGTGTTGTATCTTTGAGTATGTGTTTTCTGTAGTTTTTAGTGTTTATGACCTGATCCTGTATGGCAATCATGAATCCTTCCGTCTCACCAAAGAGGAATCTCCGATCTAATCAGCTATTTGATGCAGTTTTTTCAACAAAATCCTGAGCCAGGTTGTAGGGATGCCTGCCGTGGAGTGCCTTTTGAGTCCACGATTGCTTGATGGTGTCTATGCTTTTTATATGTTGTCATGTCTGTATGATGTGAGTGTACCAGTAAGTTTAATGGTGTATTATTTGAATCTGCTAGAGTTACTGATTTATGTAACTGTGATATTTCTTGTTTTTTGTAGAAAAACTTGGCAGTGACTGCATTTGTTTGTAGTGAAGGTTAACTATGTCTTATTATTATTATTGTAAATAGTTCTTTAGCAAACTGTTTTTATGCTTTATTCTAGTTCATTTAAAGTTTTGTTGCAAAATTGCAAAATACTCCAAGAATAAAATAACCTCCCCTTCCAGTTAAAGTATGGAAAAGTATTAATGTCAAAAGGTTATCAGTGAGATCAGTTAAATTTATGCTATTGTCCTAATCCATTAACATATGATTAATATAGAATGTAATATCAAATTTAATAACTGCAGATATCATAATTATCTCATTTATCTTATCCATTTCTATGTTTTAAGAGTGCAGATATAATTTGTATAGCTTTCAGTCAGTCAGTATTTCATTATAAATTTTTTACTGGATTTCATTACAAATGAAATTGGATAAAAGAAAATTTCAATTTTATTAGGAAGTAGTATAGAATTCGTAATTTTTCTCTTTTCATAAACTTGCTGAAATTTTCAATTTAAAAATTAAGAGAATGTTTCAGTTTTGTATTGATTCAAAATATTGTATACATATATACTAGGCTCATGAAATTTACTTATAATAGTATTATGAATAGTGTTATGAAAGAAATTGCTAGTCGAAAGGAACCAAGAATGGTTTTAAGAAGAGCCCCTAATTTGTATAAGATCTTGAGAAATGATAAGGATAGTATCAAAGCAGAGGAGAAAGCAGGGGTGTATAAGATACCTTATGAGAACTTACAACTGGATGTTAAAAAAAGATTATATCAGCGTCACCACAAGAAACTTTAGAGTAAAGCTCAAAGAACGGTGCATAGTAGTCAAAGAACATAGATATGCCATAAGAAAAGCATCTAATTCAACGATTTTGTCCGAAATGGCGTGAGCCCAAGGCTCGGAGGTAAAATGGGACGAGGCAATAATCATCAAACCTCTGTCTTCCCCAACTTTAGCAATGACGGTGGAGAAGATTGAAATATACAGAAGTAGTATAGGAGAAGGCTGTTTAAATGCGAGGGATGCCGAGAGCCTGCCTTCGGCATGGAAGTACTTGGTTAAGAAATTTACTAGAAACTTGGACCAGAATTAGTACATTGAAGATTTATGTTATTTTTGCTTTATTATTTGTTTTATTTTAATTTTTATATATTCTTCCGTTATTTTTCTCTTGTAAAATAATTTTTGATGTAAAATTTTTGTTCTATTCATGGAACATTTACATTCCATTTTCGTTTGCGACCTGAAGATGGCCTATTAATTGAACTGGAAACGTTTATTTTTTACAATTACATTTATTTCTCAGCAAAAAAAAGTTTTGTTTTTATTTACATATAAGTTTTTGAAATTAATAGCTTAATAAATACATATTTGCTCTTATTAAGAATAATGTGCATTCTATAGTGTTCAATGCTTTAGTTATTTATTTATGGAATATTTAACAAGTTACCTTCTCTGTTATATAAAAGTTGAAGTATACTCATTTTTTTTCTTTCTTTAGGATGCAGGTTATGGAGAGAAATTGATATTTACTGAAGATGAAAATGAAGAAGACTTTCAAGGAAAAATTGATGATGAAGTAAATAAATATTTTATTTTGAATGTTTTTTAATATTTTCTGTGATTGACCTTAAATAGAATAAAGAATTTCATGTAATAATTTTTGTTTGAGATTAGATTTAAAATAATTAAATTATTAAAATTATTTGTAAATCTAAATAATTTTAATTTGAAATCCAACTTTTAAAACTTTGAAATTTTATTGAAAATAATAAAGATTTATTAAGTTTTAGCAAATGGCAAGTAATAAAATTTGTAATATTTGTTACAAAAAATTAATAAAATATAATTTTAATAGATAAAAGCTGCACCTTGGAATACAACTAGAGCATTTATTATGGCAATGAAAGGAAAATGCTGTTTAGAAATAAATGGTGTGGCAGATCCTACAGGTTGTGGTGAAGGATTTTCATATGTGAGATTACCAAACAAGTCTTTAATGTCTGTTAAAGTAAGTGTTTGTTATCATAACAAAATTATTTTATAAAATTACACTTGATATATAGAATTAATGATTGGCTACAGATGGAGCTGTCTGTAACGTGCTTGGGGTGGCAGCAATGGCAGATGGTTCCATCAGAAAGTTGGAAAATTTCCAAATGCACTCGTAGGACTGGTCATATCTTCCTTAATATTCATAGGTGCCAGTGCTAGTCCATATATTTCCCATGCTGCTTTAACAAGTCTCATCCACTCATGTTTGTGGGATAAACCACTGTTGCAGTTACATAAGACACATTCAGAGGATAGATCAGATGGTAGTGCATTCTTACAGATACCTAGAAACAAGTGGATTAACACAACTTCTGCAACAAATAGAAGGATCTGTCACTTATCCTGATGTTTGCTACATTGTGGGTTAGCCCATTGTTGTAGTAAAGTCTTCAAATATGCATATGTAAAGAGTTTCTGATTTTAAATGGAACAATCAAATATCTCAAAGTAAGTGTTACCAAAAACTGCTTTGTTTTTAGGACCAGAAAGGAAAATAGGACCATTAGTGAAGGTCATATAGAAATAAAATTTTTAGGGATATAGCAAAAAATGTAGTCTTTCTCAAGTGAAAACTACTTCTGAATTTATCATCTTACAATAAACATTCATGTTCAAAAATATGCCATGTTGATATGTTTCGTGTGATGATAAAATTTTTGGGTTGTGTACTTGATATATTCTCCTGTACAAGAAAACACATTTACTCCTGCTAGTCACTGGAAATGTTAGTTTTTTTAATGTAGTTTACAGTAGGCTGCCTTTGCCAGTAATTTGCAATCCAATCTAGAATGCACTCCATAGGATCAACAGATTTATATTTCTCACTTGGCATCAAACTACAAACTCCTTTTTTTTAATCTTGTTTTGATGTTTTTCTCCCTGTTTTGTTAAATTAGAACAATTAGTGAATTAGTCTTCTTAGCCCAGTAGGTGTTTGATGGTCAAAATAAAAAGAGAAAGAAAAATTGTGGAGGAATAGGAAGACAGGAAAGTTGAAAAAAGAAATTTAATTTATTATTAAATTAATCAAAAATTTATAGAAGCCCACTTTGCTGTTTTTATAGCAAACAGGACTCCTATTTCAACAAACCACAATTCTGCCAGTTTGTCCCAGAATGATGGTAATTTTGTGATGATTCTTTTGATCTCTGCTGACATTCCTTGTTCTGTGAAATTTTAGAAAAAGGGGTTTTGTTGCCTGAAATTCCAGTTTGTTGATAGAACAATAAAAATTACGACGATTAGAATAAAAAGAACCGAACAATAATAAATTCAAAAATATTCCTTAACACTAATTTATAATTACAAGGAAATAGAAAGTAGGGGGCAAAATGTAACAAACAACTTTGGCATCATTATATGATATGATGCCAAAGTTGTTTGTTATATTCTTTTGGGCGTGATATGATGATATAGATTTATGAACATATTTTCAATATGTTTAAAGTGTCAGTAATTTTTTTTATTAAATTATTTTCACTAGGATGAAAACAACGCTTTCCCAAAGAAGCCAATCGTTGGTACTGATGCAGATCTTAGGAAAATGTCACAGAAGAAAGGCATACAGTTATTACGTTCTTGTGGATGCTCAATTGAAGAAGTAAGAATTTTAATAAAACTTTATTGTTTTAATTGGATATTTGTGTTTTTTAAGGAATTTAAATAAAAGTTTAATAAAGACTTTGATATTCTTATACTAATAATAATAATAATAATGTTTCAAGGTTTGGTGTTTCTAAATATAGGCTATAAACTTTCAAGGTCCTCAAATGTTAAGAAACAATCTTGCACCAGAATTTGTTTTAAAAAACATTAAACTTTTATTAAACTAGAAATGCTAATACTAAGCTTTCTGATAAAAGCAAAAAATATATATATTATGATAGCTAGTACATAACTGAAAATGGATAATACTATAATTCAGTAATTATTATAAAATTGTTAACAAAAATTACAATTATTTAAATTTTCATACAGTTAACCTGATTAGGGAAAGAACTTGTAAGTGATTCGTATTAAGGGTTTTTCTTCTAATTCAACAGCTACACATTGATCACATTGATCAGCAAAAGTGAAAGCTAGCTTGCCTTGTCAGTTTGACAAGGTCCTTTTTATACTTTGCTGATTTGCTTACTTTTCAGTAAAGGCAAAAGTTAAGCAAAATCATTTTTTATAAGCATGAAAATGCTTACATAAGATGATTTTGCTTAACTTCTGTCTTTATTAACATTTACATTAAAACTTCTTTAACTCGAACCTCCAAGGGGCAGGAAAAACAGGAAAAGGGGCAGGTAAGAGAACAATAGAGTAAAAAATATGATTCTGAATACATTTGAACCTCTCTTGCATTAAAGAATCTTTGATCTTATGCTGTTTGAGACAAAAAAAAACCTATGTAATGCATTTCAGCAAAATGTTCAGTGTAACTAATGGAATCAAACAGTTTTGCTGATCCTCTTACTTTATCTCAACAAGATGTATCTCATGCTTTTGACTGACATTTTGTCTGAAAATTAGTGTTAGAGTAGATGCAACTGTCTGAACATTTCATGGAAATTCAATAATTAGGATTACTTTGTATAGAATAAATATTAAAATTCTAGTCGGGGAAGTTGAAAGTAACTCAAATCGGTGTTAGGGAACTGTGAAAAACTTCAACTTGGCAAAAATTCAAGTTAAAAAATTCAAGTTGGCAACATTAAATCCCTAAACCTTGTTAAGACCTACCAAGTGCTTTGTTTTCTTTGAGTTAAAGAAATATTCAAGTTACAGACGTTTGAGTTAGAGAAGTTTATTGTAGTAATTCAAACACAAATTATTATTGTATTTATTTTCAGGCACTTGGCAATTTTTATCATCAAATTTTATTTAGTTGATACGTGTTGATATTATTTACAAACGTTTCGGGCATTTATTGCCCCTCCTCAGCCAACTTTTTAATTTACAGGTTATCAAGATATTAAAACCACAAATTTCCATCGCCTATGTTTACTTGTAGTTATGGAACTACAAAAACTTCTTGGCCCTTAACACACTTTAATCTTGCAGTTTTTCTCTGTAATTGTTGTTGATTTTTTGTTGACCCTTATCCATTTTTTGATGATTGTTGCCGTTTCAGCTTCGGAATTCTTATTCTGGTACTTTGAAACCGTGCTAGTAGTTATTAGTAGTAATTCAAACACAAATTATTATTGTATTTATTTTCAGGCACTTTTGATGAAGTTTTTGTAGTTCCATAACAACAAGTAAACATAGGCGATGGAAATTTGTGGTTTTAATATCTTAATAACCCGTAAATTAAAAAGTTGGCTGAGGAGGGGCAATAAATGCCCGAAACGTGTGTAAATAATATCAACATGTATCAACTAAATAAAATTTGATGATAAAAAATGCCAAGTGCCTGAAAATAAATACAATAATAATTTGTGTTTGAATTACTACTAATAACTACTAGCACAGTTTCAAAGTACCAAAGTTTATTGTATTTACAAAAGCATAAATACAGAATTATTTAGGATTTTAAATAAGACCAAAATACTTAATGAGATGCAGTTTCATTCATTACTCAGATCTGTCTATGAAATTATACAGATCTGAGTAATCACTAGTTGGGAAGTATTGACATAACAGTTGAGATGTATCATAACTTAACCTCCAAAACTCAAAATAACTGTAAGAAATGGAAAGTAAATTAATGTAACTAGCTAAACATAACTATAAATCAAAATTTCTTTTTTGCTACCTCACATAGTGATTTTTATTACTGTATTTTTGTGTGTAATCTGTGATAGTTAATAACCTGCACGAAATTGCTAGAATAAAAATACTATCTATTGCTCAATTGACCCCATCATATTACCTGCACCTATGAAGCAGCCATTGCTCTATAGTGTAACCTATAAAGATGACTAAAATTTTTTAATTTAATTTTATTTATTTTGTTATATTATTCTTTCCTTATCTCTATATTATATTTTCCCCCTGAATTCTCTCCTCTCAGGCTATAGTAATTTTTATCTCTGGGGTTTCCAACATGTTTTCCATTTATAAAATTATGTGAGGTTAAGGACAATGCAAATCTCTAGATTTGTTAATTAAAATGTAGAGCACATTTTCTAGAAGTAACACAAAACAAAATAAAACAAAAAGAGAATCATGAGGTAGGAAGGTGATTGAGTTTATGAAGAAAAGAATGGAAGAGATGAAGGAACCTGTTTAGGACAAAGTTCGTGAGAAACATTAATGCAACTTTTACAAGAATAAGAAAATTACAAAAGAAATTGCCCACTTGTGGTCAAGTGCCTAAAACCACTGAACGATAGTAGTTGGTTGTAGGTTTACACTTCACTAATGGACAAGCTACATGGATTTTTTAGGTTTTCTTCCCATGTATAACCAAAGCAACCAAAACCAAGCATAAAAAATAACTGAGTTAACATCAAAGACTGTTCAGATATGCACTTCCAACCAGGCATATACACTATCCCAGTTACAGATTGCAGAACCAACTGCTACTCCAAATACATAGATTCTACAATGTGCCCATCTTAGAGAGCATTAGTATTCCATCCTGAAAGGGTCAGCCAACACTGCTCTAGCCAACTTTGCCTCCGACCCCAACAATAGACATATAATTTGACTGACCTTATATAGCTTCACCTAGAAACATCATCTCAGATATTTAGACCAGGTAGAAATTTACAAGACCACCCAAAAAATATCACCATTAATTTTGTGGATTCTTTCTGCATGGAAGACGTCTTATGAACTGTAAACTTTCTATCCTCTCCCCTTCCCCTCTTCCTTACATCACCTCCCCTCTCCTCTTGACACATGTTTGGTAATCCCCTGTTATTTTTGACAACTGTTGGTCATTTAGCCTGATGATGCCTATTTACCACAGGTGAAAACATTAGCTCTGTTATTTTTTATGCTGGTTTTTTTGTTTGGTTGCTGCGTTATCAAGTTTACCCAGTTTTTAGTGATTGTTTTACATGAATAACCTAAATAGAGACCAGTTTTCCTTAGGAAGTTCTCCCAGGAGGTATCCCTATTGACAAATTGCCTACATGTTACATTATCATATCCCATCAAAACCAAATTAAACAAAAGAAATTCTGAATAAGGTATTTATTTGAAATTATGAAGAAAAATTTTTAATTAATAAGTGTAATATTTTAGTATTTCAATTATAAGCATAGTATTTTAGTTTTTAGTATTTTAGTAGAATACAAAAGATTAATAAAAATGTAATTAAGGCAGCATTAATTCTTAAAATGATAAAATTTATATAATATTTCTATTATTAAATTGTCATTCAGTGGCATGTCATCCATGGAAGCTGTGGAAGTGCCACTTCCCTTGTATTTTCTAAAATATAAATACATATTGTGTGATTATTTTCATATTTTAATGTACTTTGAATTAATTAAAATTAATAATTTATTATAATCGCATTATGTATCTTATTGCAAATTTCTGTACTACATATGAAAAAATGATGAGATTGCTATTGCATATTCGAATATAAATTCTTATATGCATATTCCCAATGGAAGTGCTGTATTGTCGAATACAGGACAGCTTCCACGATGAAAATATCTGAATGGTGCAAAGCAGCCAGATTACAGGCATTGGCGCATGCACTTTACAGAGCACCAACCTCGCATAGTTTAGCTGGTGGATGCTAAACACAAAAATATCTTATAATGCTTCCAATGATTCTGTCCAGGGCTGGCACAGCTTCCCTATCATGAAATGTCACTGCATGCCACTGTTGTCATAATTTCAATTATTATTGTTTTTCCATTCTAGAGATGATTTATAAATTTAGGTTTATTCAATTTTTTAAGTCACCTTAATTGTATTTTCATATTTTGGTGACAGTAATAATTACAATTACATTTTTAATTTATATTAAAATATAACTGTTCTAACATTTATTTCCTTAAGACTAAAGATTTAAGTCGTTGGGAAGTATTACATCTCATCAGAGTCTTGACTTCTAATGAAGAAAATATGGAAGAATCTGGTAATAATATTTTCATAAGTTGTACTTCTAATTTTTTCTTAGCAGTAGCATAACTAGAACCAGTATTAGGGGTGCCCAAGTTAGAATGCTCAAATCTACATTCATCCCTGCATCACTGTGGATGAAAAGTAAACCCTTAAATATTCATCATATTGTTATGCCCCAATAGACCTAGGTCTGTTAGGCAAGGTTATAGGGTCAAGGCACAGACACACAAAATAAAGGACTTTACAATTATGGTGGAATTTAATTAATAAGGTTTAATCATGAATATATATAAACAAAAGAACATTAACCTATTTACACCACAGGAGAGGAACAACAATCCATCAAATTTTCAAAACAGAGAACATGTAAACTATACGAGCGAAAGGATAGAAGATATTACTTCTCCTTTAACGAAATACACAATAATTAACGTACCGACAAAAATAATAGTTTTTGGAGCTTCTTCGATGTTTCATGTCTTGATATCTTCTACAGTTTCATGAACAACGGGCGGATTCTCTACGATGGAATTGGATTCTGTTCTCTTCATTCTTTAGTTCACACGTGTCAGTCCCTTTCTTCTTTATCCTAACACCACATAGTCTGTTCTCATCTCACAACAAGCAGGAGCCGAAGAAAAAAAAAGTTTACTTTTGGACGGGAGTCCCAATATTTATACCTCCCGCCATTGAGTGTGACGTGAATTACATGTGCTGTCAGTCGCTGACCAATCAGCAAGGGCAACAGGTTCCACCTGTTCACGATCCGGTATCATGAAATAAAACGGAATTTTACAATAAAACCCGATATGACACCCGACATATATACATACAATAAACGGAAACAATTATATATAGTGCTTATGCACTACAATATATACATGTGTATATATGCATTTTTCACATTCAAATTTTTTTCCTTTACTTATTTGATTTTGATTCATTCTATATTACAAAGATCTAAAGTTTCATCTGAGAATATGTCAAAACTGTATGTATTAAAGCATATTCCTGTTGTGGCAGTGAGAAGATGCATGACATCTTTTAAAAAGGATGTTTGAGAACACACACTTGGGTATCAATTTTATTTTGGAATTCTTCTGTTCAAGCCAGTGATTTCCTCCCCCTTGTTCTTAATATTAATTATTCTGTTTAGTTACAGTTTATTCTATTACTTTTCCATGTAATGTCTACATCCTGTAAATAAGTATTTGTCTGAATGTTGACTTCTCATTTTTCTGTGACAATACATAAATTTTATAAATATTAGGACTAGAAATGGAACAAATCACTGCGATATTTGATTTATAAACACAATGGCTTTAGCAACATGTGAATTTTTTAGTTATATTTAAATTAGTTTGAAATTGTTCAAGTTCTTTTAAAACGTACACAATGGAATCTTATATTATAATGTTATGACAAACTTGAGTTGGTGTGAGAATCACATGAGTGTACAATGGTCTGTGAGAGGCAGTACACAAATAAATAACAGCAATTATTTATTTATTTTCACGTGAATAGTAATATACAGGATTCTTTTATGGGTTCCAACTCTGAGAGTTACAGAATGTCCAGAATAGGTGCAAGGAATCAAGTAAATACAAAGCAAGAGAACCCGCTTGCGACAATTAAGAAAAGATGGACATATACTCTTACAACTAATACTTATACTAAATTATAAACTAAAAGAGGAAGAAAGAATATCAAAAAGTTTAGTATGATAGAAGAGGAGGTTATAAAGAATACCCAGGTTTTCTGGTTGGTATTGATGCTCTTCTGGTGAGGAATCACTATAAATTGCTTCATGATGATCCTTAATTGGATCTCTTCACTTATCCTCCTTAAACAAGGGATGTTTGTCTCTCTCGCTCCATGCATTGACAGGGTCTTTTCTCCTCTGCAGGCTGTCTTTGTCTCCCTTTGTCCTTCTAGACAGTGAGCTAGAGCGTAACTTTCACACGTCTGCCTTCACGAGAGTCCGATCCAAGAATGACTCTCCTTATCCATTATAGTAGCCTCACTACTATAGTATAGTAGTGGGGATCTCACTTCCCATTGTCACTGTGGCACTTAGAAAGGGTTACCCCACCCACAGGAAGAAATGTTAGTCAAAAATTTGAGGAAACAAAAAGGGGAAACAAAGAAGAAAGAAAACTTAAAACTAAACTTATATCAAAAATATATACAGTAATATGGTGTATCGCCACAGTGGCTCCCAAAAATGTCTGTGCAACAAAGTTTGTTACAATGAAAAATATATATAAATTATAAAGCAATTTAAATAGTAATGTTGGCAAAAACTGGAAATTCTCAAAACCAGTTTTGAGATGACTTTGAATTTAGTAGAAAGCTTTTAAGTGGTCTTTCTAAAAACTACATCATTCATACAGCAAGATAGTTTTGAGGCTGCCGACCACGTCAAAAACATTGTTTAACAAGAAGTAACAAATTGAAAAGCTCATCTAATAGACTTTTCTCACTAATAGTGTCAATTTTTTGTTGTTTTGTACATATACAAATCCAATGAAGTAGTAGTAGTCTTTCTTAAATATTACTTCATTAAGGATTTATATTGCATGACCTTGGGAGCTCCAATGTGGATTTGTTGCAAGGCCCTAACTGTTTGTACAATATTGTGATACTTCTAATTCTTCTCACAGCTGGTTATATAAAGAAATTGCTACTTAATAGAGGGTGGGTGATTAACATGTAGACATAACCTGTCTGCTTATTTGTTATTAAGAAACAGCAAAGATGCCATTAACACTTACAATGCACTGGGGGTATATAGTATATTGGTGAGAGATGACAGATGTGCATCTGATGAGAGAGATCTGATATGCATTGGGTTGATCAAAAGGCTGGCAGAGCATAAATATGATATATGTAACAAAAAGCAGACCACTGCCCTAGCAATATATGCTTCTGAAACTGGTGTAGAAGCTAAACTACAACTGGCCAGCCTCATTAAATGCATCTTTCATACCGAGCAGATCAAAATTTTGAAGGCTCTAGAAATTTGTAATGCCCAAGCTAAAGGGGGAATGCATAAATTTTAAGGAGGCGGAAAACATCTCACATGCCTGGAGGACTTTTTTTTTGACAATCCCGATAACATTAATAACAAATAGAAATCAACTGCTTCCATTGGGATTTGTTACAATATATATGCTAAATTTTTATGTTAATGTTTATTTTATTTTATGTTAATGTCATTGTTAATTTTTATTTTTAATGTTAATATTAACACACAGTTGTGATTTTTATACTTGTTAGAATATTTAACCTTTAACACAGATGGGAATTTTTGTATTTGTTCCAATATTTAATAGTTCCAGCAATTTTTTTTTAAATTTAAAATTGCTCTTTAAGCATACCAAATTTTTGTATAAGACATTTTGACCTGAAGCAAATTCCAATTAGGATTGAAAGTGCTTGTCAAAGTATGTTAAACTTTATTTGCTGGTTTAATTATAAAGGTTTGTGTGTGTGTTGTTATGATATTTACAATCTCATTAAATTAATGGTAGTTTCTGTAACTTGAATTTGTTACCTCAAATTTTTCTGTCTCTTTTCTATTTTGAATTATTGAGTCTACTATATTATGTAATGCTTTCATATGTATATAATGACTCAAATTGGGTATATCTTAATTAAGGATTATACAAAATCCAGTTTCCAGCAGGAACTACAAAAATCTACAAAGTAAATATTTTTACCTGTCTCTTAGCCTGATGACGACAATTCAACATGGATGAAAATGTTTTGTAGTTCCTGCTGGATATTGGTTTTGTGTGTAGTGCTTTGTTTTAAACAAACATACAAAAATTATCATTTATATATGATGAGCAGAAAATAAATATTTAGAAAGCTATTTTAACAACTCAGTGGTTTTTATCTAATTATTTTCAATTGAATTCCTGATGGATAAAAATTGAATTTAATTAAACAAGATATTGTTTATTAATTTTAAAATTTGAATATAATTTAAATTTCTGTATTCATTTAATGTATCTCAAATATAAATTTGTTATCTTTTATTTCTGTACCGAAGAATTGAAGAAGTATGCTCGAAAACCGAGACCGACAATAACAGACCAATTAGAAAAATATGCCAAAGAATGTCAGAGAATTTTTGAAATCCAAAATAAGTAAATATCTTATCTTTTTAAATAAAACTAATTAAATATTTAATATTTTTGAATTTAAAGCATTAGGTTGGCTTTAGCAATAAATAAAACTAGCAGATAACCCAGGTATTGTCAGAATGAATCATCAAATAGAAAAAGTTAATTCAGAATTAAAAGTTGAAATTTAATATCTAACAAAAACTGCTTGTAGTCTAGACTATGTGAAATGTATTCACTTTTCTAACAACTACAAAAATGAATTACAAAATTGTTTGTATGCCATTGTTTAAAGTGGGAAATCCAATATAACCCAACTTTTTCTATCCCACTCATACTCACTAACAATTTAATTGAATTGTTACAAAATCTGAACCACACAAAAAATTTCTTAGCAATTTCTTATAGAAAATATTAGGGAAATTTCAGAAAATTTGGAACCTAATATCTCGAACAAATCATTGGATCCAAAACAAAAGTTTGTTGCATATTTTCTGATTTTCTATCTGTCAACACCTAATTTGTTCAAATCCATGAAGAAATCTAGGAATTTAGTGAATAAAAATTTTCTCAGCATTTGCCCTGCTAGCTTAGCAGTTTTATGGAATTTTTAAACTACTCATGATAGGAAAAATTGTAGTCTTAGTATGCTGGTGTCTTATATATGTTACAGTCAAAACGCATTTTTAGTTAGAATGCGTTTTGTCTAGTTGAAACTAGTTTATACTAAATGTCTTTGTTAAAACCCGTTTTGTCTAGTTGAAACTAGTTGTAACTCAAATTCATTTTTGACTAGCAGTAAATTCTAGTTTTAGCTAGACAAAACTGGTTTTGTCTAGTTAATTTACTGCTGTACATGTTTTGATTTTAGATAAAACTAGTTTTAACTTTTAACATTAGTTAAAACTAATTTCAGCCACATAAATATGTTTGGGGGAAATAAATAAAGTTATGTATAGTGATTCGGCGGAAGATGCCTAACATTTTGCTTATGAAGGAAATTACAGCACTAATTTGGGTTTAGGAGCCCTCTAATGAAAATATCATATTCTGGAGTATGTTTTTCAAATAAAACTTTGGAGTTTATTTTAAAAAAATTGTATACTGTGTTTGCAATGACGACTTTTTCACTGTCTTGCATTTTAGGCATCTCACCCCAAGTATCCGTAATGCCAAATGCCATTAGGGTAAGATAACAAATATAATTGCATAAAATTAATTTTTGAATTTCTTAACCAAATTTAATTTATTGCATATGTAGTACAAAGTACTTCGCAGTAAGTATAACAACACAGTATAAGTATTGTTAAGTTTCCGCCCGTTCTANAATTTTTATCATCAAATTTTATTTAGTTGATACGTGTTGATATTATTTACACACGTTTCGGGCATTTATTGCCCCTCCTCAGCCAACTTTTTAATTTACAGGTTATCAAGATATTAAAACCACAAATTTCCATCGCCTATGTTTACTTGTAGTTATGGAACTACAAAAACTTCTTGGCCCTTAACACACTTTAATCTTGCAGTTTTTCTCTGTAATTGTTGTTGATTTTTTGTTGACCCTTATCCATTTTTTGATGATTGTTGCCGTTTCAGCTTCGGAATTCTTATTCTGGTACTTTGAAACCGTGCTAGTAGTTATTAGTAGTAATTCAAACACAAATTATTATTGTATTTATTTTCAGGCACTTTTGATGAAGTTTTTGTAGTTCCATAACAACAAGTAAACATAGGCGATGGAAATTTGTGGTTTTAATATCTTAATAACCCGTAAATTAAAAAGTTGGCTGAGGAGGGGCAATAAATGCCCGAAACGTGTGTAAATAATATCAACATGTATCAACTAAATAAAATTTGATGATAAAAAATGCCAAGTGCCTGAAAATAAATACAATAATAATTTGTGTTTGAATTACTACTAATAACTACTAGCACAGTTTCAAAGTACCAAAGTTTATTGTATTTACAAAAGCATAAATACAGAATTATTTAGGATTTTAAATAAGACCAAAATACTTAATGAGATGCAGTTTCATTCATTACTCAGATCTGTCTATGAAATTATACAGATCTGAGTAATCACTAGTTGGGAAGTATTGACATAACAGTTGAGATGTATCATAACTTAACCTCCAAAACTCAAAATAACTGTAAGAAATGGAAAGTAAATTAATGTAACTAGCTAAACATAACTATAAATCAAAATTTCTTTTTTGCTACCTCACATAGTGATTTTTATTACTGTATTTTTGTGTGTAATCTGTGATAGTTAATAACCTGCACGAAATTGCTAGAATAAAAATACTATCTATTGCTCAATTGACCCCATCATATTACCTGCACCTATGAAGCAGCCATTGCTCTATAGTGTAACCTATAAAGATGACTAAAATTTTTTAATTTAATTTTATTTATTTTGTTATATTATTCTTTCCTTATCTCTATATTATATTTTCCCCCTGAATTCTCTCCTCTCAGGCTATAGTAATTTTTATCTCTGGGGTTTCCAACATGTTTTCCATTTATAAAATTATGTGAGGTTAAGGACAATGCAAATCTCTAGATTTGTTAATTAAAATGTAGAGCACATTTTCTAGAAGTAACACAAAACAAAATAAAACAAAAAGAGAATCATGAGGTAGGAAGGTGATTGAGTTTATGAAGAAAAGAATGGAAGAGATGAAGGAACCTGTTTAGGACAAAGTTCGTGAGAAACATTAATGCAACTTTTACAAGAATAAGAAAATTACAAAAGAAATTGCCCACTTGTGGTCAAGTGCCTAAAACCACTGAACGATAGTAGTTGGTTGTAGGTTTACACTTCACTAATGGACAAGCTACATGGATTTTTTAGGTTTTCTTCCCATGTATAACCAAAGCAACCAAAACCAAGCATAAAAAATAACTGAGTTAACATCAAAGACTGTTCAGATATGCACTTCCAACCAGGCATATACACTATCCCAGTTACAGATTGCAGAACCAACTGCTACTCCAAATACATAGATTCTACAATGTGCCCATCTTAGAGAGCATTAGTATTCCATCCTGAAAGGGTCAGCCAACACTGCTCTAGCCAACTTTGCCTCCGACCCCAACAATAGACATATAATTTGACTGACCTTATATAGCTTCACCTAGAAACATCATCTCAGATATTTAGACCAGGTAGAAATTTACAAGACCACCCAAAAAATATCACCATTAATTTTGTGGATTCTTTCTGCATGGAAGACGTCTTATGAACTGTAAACTTTCTATCCTCTCCCCTTCCCCTCTTCCTTACATCACCTCCCCTCTCCTCTTGACACATGTTTGGTAATCCCCTGTTATTTTTGACAACTGTTGGTCATTTAGCCTGATGATGCCTGTTTACCACAGGTGAAAACATTAGCTCTGTTATTTTTTATGCTGGTTTTTTTGTTTGGTTGCTGCGTTATCAAGTTTACCCAGTTTTTAGTGATTGTTTTACATGAATAACCTAAATAGAGACCAGTTTTCCTTAGGAAGTTCTCCCAGGAGGTATCCCTATTGACAAATTGCCTACATGTTACATTATCATATCCCATCAAAACCAAATTAAACAAAAGAAATTCTGAATAAGGTATTTATTTGAAATTATGAAGAAAAATTTTTAATTAATAAGTGTAATATTTTAGTATTTCAATTATAAGCATAGTATTTTAGTTTTTAGTATTTTAGTAGAATACAAAAGATTAATAAAAATGTAATTAAGGCAGCATTAATTCTTAAAATGATAAAATTTATATAATATTTCTATTATTAAATTGTCATTCAGTGGCATGTCATCCATGGAAGCTGTGGAAGTGCCACTTCCCTTGTATTTTCTAAAATATAAATACATATTGTGTGATTATTTTCATATTTTAATGTACTTTGAATTAATTAAAATTAATAATTTATTATAATCGCATTATGTATCTTATTGCAAATTTCTGTACTACATATGAAAAAATGATGAGATTGCTATTGCATATTCGAATATAAATTCTTATATGCATATTCCCAATGGAAGTGCTGTATTGTCGAATACAGGACAGCTTCCACGATGAAAATATCTGAATGGTGCAAAGCAGCCAGATTACAGGCATTGGCGCATGCACTTTACAGAGCACCAACCTCGCATAGTTTAGCTGGTGGATGCTAAACACAAAAATATCTTATAATGCTTCCAATGATTCTGTCCAGGGCTGGCACAGCTTCCCTATCATGAAATGTCACTGCATGCCACTGTTGTCATAATTTCAATTATTATTGTTTTTCCATTCTAGAGATGATTTATAAATTTAGGTTTATTCAATTTTTTAAGTCACCTTAATTGTATTTTCATATTTTGGTGACAGTAATAATTACAATTACATTTTTAATTTATATTAAAATATAACTGTTCTAACATTTATTTCCTTAAGACTAAAGATTTAAGTCGTTGGGAAGTATTACATCTCATCAGAGTCTTGACTTCTAATGAAGAAAATATGGAAGAATCTGGTAATAATATTTTCATAAGTTGTACTTCTAATTTTTTCTTAGCAGTAGCATAACTAGAACCAGTATTAGGGGTGCCCAAGTTAGAATGCTCAAATCTACATTCATCCCTGCATCACTGTGGATGAAAAGTAAACCCTTAAATATTCATCATATTGTTATGCCCCAATAGACCTAGGTCTGTTAGGCAAGGTTATAGGGTCAAGGCACAGACACACAAAATAAAGGACTTTACAATTATGGTGGAATTTAATTAATAAGGTTTAATCATGAATATATATAAACAAAAGAACATTAACCTATTTACACCACAGGAGAGGAACAACAATCCATTAAATTTTCAAAACAGAGAACATGTAAACTATACGAGCGAAAGGATAGAAGATATTACTTCTCCTTTAACGAAATACACAATAATTAACGTACCGACAAAAATAATAGTTTTTGGAGCTTCTTCGATGTTTCATGTCTTGATATCTTCTACAGTTTCATGAACAACGGGCGGATTCTCTACGATGGAATTGGATTCTGTTCTCTTCATTCTTTAGTTCACACGTGTCAGTCCCTTTCTTCTTTATCCTAACACCACATAGTCTGTTCTCATCTCACAACAAGCAGGAGCCGAAGAAAAAAAAAGTTTACTTTTGGACGGGAGTCCCAATATTTATACCTCCCGCCATTGAGTGTGACGTGAATTACATGTGCTGTCAGTCGCTGACCAATCAGCAAGGGCAACAGGTTCCACCTGTTCACGATCCGGTATCATGAAATAAAACGGAATTTTACAATAAAACCCGATATGACACCCGACATATATACATACAATAAACGGAAACAATTATATATAGTGCTTATGCACTACAATATATACATGTGTATATATGCATTTTTCACATTCAAATTTTTTTCCTTTACTTATTTGATTTTGATTCATTCTATATTACAAAGATCTAAAGTTTCATCTGAGAATATGTCAAAACTGTATGTATTAAAGCATATTCCTGTTGTGGCAGTGAGAAGATGCATGACATCTTTTAAAAAGGATGTTTGAGAACACACACTTGGGTATCAATTTTATTTTGGAATTCTTCTGTTCAAGCCAGTGATTTCCTCCCCCTTGTTCTTAATATTAATTATTCTGTTTAGTTACAGTTTATTCTATTACTTTTCCATGTAATGTCTACATCCTGTAAATAAGTATTTGTCTGAATGTTGACTTCTCATTTTTCTGTGACAATACATAAATTTTATAAATATTAGGACTAGAAATGGAACAAATCACTGCGATATTTGATTTATAAACACAATGGCTTTAGCAACATGTGAATTTTTTAGTTATATTTAAATTAGTTTGAAATTGTTCAAGTTCTTTTAAAACGTACACAATGGAATCTTATATTATAATGTTATGACAAACTTGAGTTGGTGTGAGAATCACATGAGTGTACAATGGTCTGTGAGAGGCAGTACACAAATAAATAACAGCAATTATTTATTTATTTTCACGTGAATAGTAATATACAGGATTCTTTTATGGGTTCCAACTCTGAGAGTTACAGAATGTCCAGAATAGGTGCAAGGAATCAAGTAAATACAAAGCAAGAGAACCCGCTTGCGACAATTAAGAAAAGATGGACATATACTCTTACAACTAATACTTATACTAAATTATAAACTAAAAGAGGAAGAAAGAATATCAAAAAGTTTAGTATGATAGAAGAGGAGGTTATAAAGAATACCCAGGTTTTCTGGTTGGTATTGATGCTCTTCTGGTGAGGAATCACTATAAATTGCTTCATGATGATCCTTAATTGGATCTCTTCACTTATCCTCCTTAAACAAGGGATGTTTGTCTCTCTCGCTCCATGCATTGACAGGGTCTTTTCTCCTCTGCAGGCTGTCTTTGTCTCCCTTTGTCCTTCTAGACAGTGAGCTAGAGCGTAACTTTCACACGTCTGCCTTCACGAGAGTCCGATCCAAGAATGACTCTCCTTATCCATTATAGTAGCCTCACTACTATAGTATAGTAGTGGGGATCTCACTTCCCATTGTCACTGTGGCACTTAGAAAGGGTTACCCCACCCACAGGAAGAAATGTTAGTCAAAAATTTGAGGAAACAAAAAGGGGAAACAAAGAAGAAAGAAAACTTAAAACTAAACTTATATCAAAAATATATACAGTAATATGGTGTATCGCCACAGTGGCTCCCAAAAATGTCTGTGCAACAAAGTTTGTTACAATGAAAAATATATATAAATTATAAAGCAATTTAAATAGTAATGTTGGCAAAAACTGGAAATTCTCAAAACCAGTTTTGAGATGACTTTGAATTTAGTAGAAAGCTTTTAAGTGGTCTTTCTAAAAACTACATCATTCATACAGCAAGATAGTTTTGAGGCTGCCGACCACGTCAAAAACATTGTTTAACAAGAAGTAACAAATTGAAAAGCTCATCTAATAGACTTTTCTCACTAATAGTGTCAATTTTTTGTTGTTTTGTACATATACAAATCCAATGAAGTAGTAGTAGTCTTTCTTAAATATTACTTCATTAAGGATTTATATTGCATGACCTTGGGAGCTCCAATGTGGATTTGTTGCAAGGCCCTAACTGTTTGTACAATATTGTGATACTTCTAATTCTTCTCACAGCTGGTTATATAAAGAAATTGCTACTTAATAGAGGGTGGGTGATTAACATGTAGACATAACCTGTCTGCTTATTTGTTATTAAGAAACAGCAAAGATGCCATTAACACTTACAATGCACTGGGGGTATATAGTATATTGGTGAGAGATGACAGATGTGCATCTGATGAGAGAGATCTGATATGCATTGGGTTGATCAAAAGGCTGGCAGAGCATAAATATGATATATGTAACAAAAAGCAGACCACTGCCCTAGCAATATATGCTTCTGAAACTGGTGTAGAAGCTAAACTACAACTGGCCAGCCTCATTAAATGCATCTTTCATACCGAGCAGATCAAAATTTTGAAGGCTCTAGAAATTTGTAATGCCCAAGCTAAAGGGGGAATGCATAAATTTTAAGGAGGCGGAAAACATCTCACATGCCTGGAGGACTTTTTTTTTGACAATCCCGATAACATTAATAACAAATAGAAATCAACTGCTTCCATTGGGATTTGTTACAATATATATGCTAAATTTTTATGTTAATGTTTATTTTATTTTATGTTAATGTCATTGTTAATTTTTATTTTTAATGTTAATATTAACACACAGTTGTGATTTTTATACTTGTTAGAATATTTAACCTTTAACACAGATGGGAATTTTTGTATTTGTTCCAATATTTAATAGTTCCAGCAATTTTTTTTTAAATTTAAAATTGCTCTTTAAGCATACCAAATTTTTGTATAAGACATTTTGACCTGAAGCAAATTCCAATTAGGATTGAAAGTGCTTGTCAAAGTATGTTAAACTTTATTTGCTGGTTTAATTATAAAGGTTTGTGTGTGTGTTGTTATGATATTTACAATCTCATTAAATTAATGGTAGTTTCTGTAACTTGAATTTGTTACCTCAAATTTTTCTGTCTCTTTTCTATTTTGAATTATTGAGTCTACTATATTATGTAATGCTTTCATATGTATATAATGACTCAAATTGGGTATATCTTAATTAAGGATTATACAAAATCCAGTTTCCAGCAGGAACTACAAAAATCTACAAAGTAAATATTTTTACCTGTCTCTTAGCCTGATGACGACAATTCAACATGGATGAAAATGTTTTGTAGTTCCTGCTGGATATTGGTTTTGTGTGTAGTGCTTTGTTTTAAACAAACATACAAAAATTATCATTTATATATGATGAGCAGAAAATAAATATTTAGAAAGCTATTTTAACAACTCAGTGGTTTTTATCTAATTATTTTCAATTGAATTCCTGATGGATAAAAATTGAATTTAATTAAACAAGATATTGTTTATTAATTTTAAAATTTGAATATAATTTAAATTTCTGTATTCATTTAATGTATCTCAAATATAAATTTGTTATCTTTTATTTCTGTACCGAAGAATTGAAGAAGTATGCTCGAAAACCGAGACCGACAATAACAGACCAATTAGAAAAATATGCCAAAGAATGTCAGAGAATTTTTGAAATCCAAAATAAGTAAATATCTTATCTTTTTAAATAAAACTAATTAAATATTTAATATTTTTGAATTTAAAGCATTAGGTTGGCTTTAGCAATAAATAAAACTAGCAGATAACCCAGGTATTGTCAGAATGAATCATCAAATAGAAAAAGTTAATTCAGAATTAAAAGTTGAAATTTAATATCTAACAAAAACTGCTTGTAGTCTAGACTATGTGAAATGTATTCACTTTTCTAACAACTACAAAAATGAATTACAAAATTGTTTGTATGCCATTGTTTAAAGTGGGAAATCCAATATAACCCAACTTTTTCTATCCCACTCATACTCACTAACAATTTAATTGAATTGTTACAAAATCTGAACCACACAAAAAATTTCTTAGCAATTTCTTATAGAAAATATTAGGGAAATTTCAGAAAATTTGGAACCTAATATCTCGAACAAATCATTGGATCCAAAACAAAAGTTTGTTGCATATTTTCTGATTTTCTATCTGTCAACACCTAATTTGTTCAAATCCATGAAGAAATCTAGGAATTTAGTGAATAAAAATTTTCTCAGCATTTGCCCTGCTAGCTTAGCAGTTTTATGGAATTTTTAAACTACTCATGATAGGAAAAATTGTAGTCTTAGTATGCTGGTGTCTTATATATGTTACAGTCAAAACGCATTTTTAGTTAGAATGCGTTTTGTCTAGTTGAAACTAGTTTATACTAAATGTCTTTGTTAAAACCCGTTTTGTCTAGTTGAAACTAGTTTATACTAAATGTCTTTGTTAAAACCCGTTTTGTCTAGTTGAAACTAGTTTATACTAAATGTCTTTGTTAAAACCCGTTTTGTCTAG